TTATTCTTGTTTTATAGTTTCATTGACTTTTCAGACATCTCTAGAAAATATTTATTAGAATTATTTCAAGTATCTTCTTAGTTTTCTTTGCTATCTTTCCTTCCATTGGGTGAGTTATTTTTTGTGTGGTCATCTTGGTCCTTGTTTCTTTTGCTTTTTGTCTTCCTCAAATTTTTGTATTTGAAGAATGAAAGATTAGATGGATTAAATAATACGGATATCTGGCCTAGGTTTCCCCTTGCCATGGTGTAAATGTGTCTGTTTCTCCAGAAGGCTTCTTCTGTGAACGGGAGGGTTAATTGATAGTTCTAGGCACATTAGCATGTTGTAGAACTGGCAGGCTTCCCTCGGGATGTATGTACATGGAACAGATCAAAGCCCATCCCACACACCACCCTACAAAAGCCCAGAGCTTTGATACCCATACAAAAATATCTACATGTCTGTCTATCTCTCTCTTCTCCTCTCTTTCTGCCCCTCCCCCATCTCTCTCAGTAGATTTTTCATTTTGTTTTCAAGAATAGTCTTCTACTTTTTCTCTTGGAACAGTTTATCAGATTTTCTCTGGTGTACAGGAGAACGGTGGGGAGCTGACTGGCACAGGTATTCCAGACCAGTCCTTCAGTTCATTGCTTCTCTGTCTGACTCATCCCTGCCAGTGTTTTCTGTTAGAGGCTCACCCAGCCTTCACTGTCAGGAATCTCAGCATATCACTGGTCACTCTGCTCCAATGATGTCTCATACCCACTCCCCCATTCTCTTATTCCTTTTATATTTCTTTCTTATCTTTAAAGTGGAATTTAGTGAAGAGATACACGTAGTCTGCCATCTTGAATTGTGGTACAGAATGCATTTGAGTTTATTTTAATTAATTTCTACCTGAAAATATAATTTTGAATTCTCACTGTTCTTAAATCAGTTAGTATGTGACAGGTCACTGATGCAGAAGAAAAAGAAACCATGTTGTCTCTAAGAGTCTTCACTATTACTGATTCTCAATTTTTTTTGTTTTATCCTCACCCGAGGATATTTTTCTATTTTTTGTTCAGATAGAGTGGGAAGGAGAGGAAAAGAGAGAGAAACATCGATGTGAAAGGGACACATCGAGTGGCTGCCACCCGCACGACCAACCAGGGCCAGGGACAAACTCCAACCGAAGTACGTGCCCCTAGTGGGAACCGAACTCGTGTCTCTCAGGAGCCCAGGCCGATGCTCTAACCGCTGAGTCACTGGCCAGGGCTGAGTCTCTCTTTTGCACAGTACAGTAAAACCTCTACAGAACGGACTAATTTTGGCATGGAGGTGCCCATTGAAAAGCTGAAAGTCCGTTATATAATAAAGTAGGTTTTCCAAGTGCACGTTAAAATTTTGACTAATTAGTTTACCTGTTTTTACTTTAGACACATTTGTATAATTAAAATTAAGTATGTATGAAAAGTTTAATTACACAGGGAAGTTTTCTATATGTATTACTGTAATTTTTTAATTTATACTGAATAAGTGTGTAAATGCATGCATTCACCAGTCACTGCGAGGCACAGATGGACACCGCGGGGGTGTGGCTTAGCGCATGTGGGAACATCAGTGGGCATGTTACACTGCTGCAGAAAGTCACGCCACACAACAGGACCCGTTACCTTGTGCAGTGCTGTATGACCGTGTGCTGATCATTCGCCAAACACTGTTTATGAACACTGACTCTTGGATTTAAATATGTAGACTATATTGTAGATATTCAGTATTTATTTATGTCAGCAAAATTACTAGTGTTTTTCCAACATATGGCCTCTTTGCTAAAATTTGTTTAATAACAGTGAATTAATATCAAAAAATAACTTGTCAATTTAATTATAAGCAGATCTTGGTTAAAATAATTCTCTTTTTTTTTTAGAGAGAATGTGGAAGGGAGGAAGGGAAGGGAGAAAGAGAGAGAGACACACTGATTGGTTGCCTCCCACATGTGCCCGAACAGCCTGGGGATTGAACCTGCAACCCAGGAATGAGCCCTTGACTGGGAACCGAACCTGAGCAACCCTTCAGTGTGTGCTCTGACACACTCAAACCACTGATCCACACTGGCCAGGGCAACATTTTAAAATTAACAGGGTGTTAATTTTCACATATGACATAAGGACTGTAAATTTTGTCTGCTAAATCCAAAGTCCATTAAATCATCCACAAAATTGAGGGTTTACTGTACTTATGTCTATGTTTGCATGCTCTCTCCTCCCGTAATAAAAGAGTAGCACGTATGCCTTCTGCTCTTTGTCATTGCATTACACTAATACTTTGTGCATCGTGAGTAATCTTTTAGTATTGCAAGGCCTCCACTGCTAGACAGGGTGCGAGGTCCTGGAGATAACAAAGTGAAATCAGGTATGGTTCTTGTCCTTCTAGACTCACGGGAGCTCACTTCTAGGAGGGTACAAAGGTAAGTAGTCATGATACAGCACAATATAATCGATACCATAATGTACAAAGAACTATTCTCGTGTTACATAATGAAGCAAATAGGTACTAAGCTAACAAAAGGATCCTCAGCACCTGTGCTTTATTTTGTATCCCATACATCAGTGCGATTTAAGCTAATTTGACGTTTCAAGAAATAAATAAACTTTCCTCCCCTACAGTTTTGACACATGATGAACTCTAGCACTGGCTTTTATGGGAAAGAAGATAAAAATATGACAAGAAATCTGCCACCTGCTGGGAAAGTGTGGAACTACTGCTAAAAGTTTTGGAAGTTTCATGAAAGATCAGTGACATATTCTCCCCTTTAAAAAATATTATTTAAAAATATATGTACTTAATGTATTGAATAAATTTAAATTATATAAGAAATGACCACTGAGTATTTAAAATAGATTATTCCTTTTTTGCTGATTGCTTAAATACTGTTTTCACCACAGTGACATTTTGCCAGGTAACCCAGTAAAAAACATTTGACCACTGGGGATTTACCAAACCATCTGCATCTTTGTGTATTACTGTGCTATGTGCCATATTTTCTTATTCACAAAATGCATTTAAAATTAGAAAAGTGTTTTCTTCTGAGAAAAGGACTCATGGTTATCTCTGAATAATAAAACAAAATTAAGTTCATTTATACTTTATCTGTTGTTATAAAATGGAAGGTAGTGTTGCACTATAATATTATTTTATCTTAAATCGTATGATGTTTTAATATGCTCTATTTGCATTTAATATTTCTAATTTGTATTTCATAAAATGATACTTGTGGGCTTATGGGATATGTACATCTTTTTTTTAAAAAAAGGAACTGGCTACTTTTATAGAAGCTAAGAATGTAAACTTTGTTTTCCTGCTGTGTATTAATAATAGAATAGGAATAGTCAGTGTTCAAGAACTATCCAACTATTCTAGAATCATAGGATTTGGGGACGGGAACAGATCTCAATAGTATTAGGACCCCATCCCCTGAAGAGGCTAAGGTAATAAGGCAGAGGTGAGTGTGGAAAACCATGATTGTTTAAAAAGGCTCCCCAGCCCTGGCCAGTTTGGCTCAGCGGTTGAGCGTCGGCCTGCGGACCAGAGAAAGAAAAAGGCTCCCCAGATGATTCTGTTGCTGAGTGGTTTGGGGAACATCCAGTAGAGTTTAGCCTCCAGGCAGTGTGCCAGCCCCTGGCCCCTAACAAGGCTCTGTCAGGTGGAGCCTCAGGCCATCCTGAACCCTGCAGAGTGTAGAGAACTGTCTGCCTCTAGAGACAGGCTGGCCCACCATTGCACAGCTCCGTAAGGACGTTCCCAGTGAGCCAGAAGCTGTCGACTGGCAGACTGACTCTAGTACCTCCCTATTGGACAGCACAGCCCAAAGGACTTGCAGAGAAGTGTTCCCAGGAGCTTCTTTTAAGAGCGAAGGAGACTGCTCCCTCTCCTGGTCACCCTCCCTCTGTTACTTTGATAAAATGGAGTGCCCGGGGTTGCAGACTACCCTGACGGAACTAGATTATTCCTGTGGTTTCCAGGGATCCTGAGGGATGCTACCAAAGGCTGCAGTGGTAACTTGGCCTGAGGTGACCCACTCCACCATGCTCTCTGGCTGACTCTTTGGAGTCAGGTGTAACATCTGGGCTTGATGAGAGGTAAGAGACTCTGTGAGCTCATGGCTTAGTGTTTAGGGCAGAAGCCCCAAATGACTGCAAGATGGTACTTGCTTTCCTGTATTGTCAGCCTGTTTCCATTTCTGTAGGAATCCTGCGGAAAGCAGGATCAACTAGGCAAAGCCCCTGGTTCCTATGCTTATTACTATCATGTCCAATTTGCTAGATTCTGGATTTCCGAGAAGCTAAAATTTCAGAATGGTCTTGATGAATCCCTTTTCACTGTCTTGTGATTTGGATGGCTCAATTTACATGTCTCTTTTCCACATGGTTGATGCCTTATATCTGAAGATCTAGATTTATAAATACTTATAGGGGACTTCCTGTTTTCTAGCAGCCATTATGCCTGTTGCAGGTATTTTCATTGTCTTCAGACTAAGGTCAGTTGCTCATATATTGCAAAGATATGATTAAGAATTTGCAACGTTTTAGCATTCTGGAAAAGTTCTATATAAGCACTGTAGCTGTCCTTTAGTTTTACGATATGCAGATTTTAGAATTGAGAAGAAAGCTTGTTTTTGGTTGTTAGAAATTTGATTGAGATAGGTAGCAGTGTGCCCCCCACCATCCCTTTGAAGACTTTAACAGAAATATACAAATTACAGCATAAAAGGGAGTCTTCAAACAAAGCCAATTTAAGTATTAGATTCTTAGTTGTATTGAGATGGAAGAACTATCCACTGGAAAGCCTGCTGTCCCAGGACCTCTGGGAGTGAAGATTGTAGCCATTTCTGCATCTGGTGTTCTGACCTCCTTCAGTTCCCACAGGAGCCCTGTCACCCCAGTCGGTCACCGATTATTTGTACCACAGAGTGGGAAAATAGACTTCTCCAAAAGACTAAAAATTAATTAAAAGCAAAAAAGTACTGATTTTGACCATAAATATTTTTATTAAATGTGAAAATACAAGGGCATAAAAATAGTACCCATATGTGTAGACATGTCTGAGACCCATTTCAATTAATTTTCAGTTTTTTTAATTAAAACACTAAATCGAGATGGATTAAGTTACTTCGTTTTCTCATTCAAAGCCAACTATATAGCCTTACAGTAGGAGAAATATTTTCACTTCCAAACATCTCTAGTTTACATTCTCCGTGCTCTGCTTTCCACTGCAGGTGAGAGGTTCAACCACAGATGATTCAACAAGACCTGTTAACTATACACAAGGCCACTCAGTGGCTAATTTTACTCTTAAATCACTCAGCAAATGAGATCCATAAAAAAATTATCCCCACCTATTAACATTATTTGCGATTACAGAATAAACTCTGCTACTTTAAAAGGAATGATCTGATTTAGAATAAGGATATAATGTGTTGACAAATTAGCATTAGACTTCTCCCTTTACCAGTATGGAAAATTCATCACGTTGGACCAACCTGAATCTCCAGGTTATACTACTGATGGCACTCAGCACTCTGCAAAGCCGGCACAGTGCCCTGAGCCTGTAGGGCCGTCGGCTCCAACAAAACCCTGACTGAGGAACCATTGCTTTGAACTTAATCACTTTTAACTTGAGCATCTCATGCATTGTTTTCATGGTAAATCTCACACACAACTTTTGACCAATTTCACACCTTTCAAAGGCGAATCTTTCATTTTCCACCATGAACAGAAAATGCTGCCAATTTCAAACTGTGATTCTATTAGCTTTTTTCCTACTTGGTTATCAGTGTTTTTCTTTTACAAAATTTGTGGGTAGCTTATATTCCATTATCACAGTCCCAAAAAGTTGTTTCCATGCTGATGTTTAAAATAAACTTTTAATATTTACTAAAAAAAAATTTAAAAATTAGTAGTATGTTATATCCAATTCATATCAGTAAACTACTGAAGTGGTTTTCATTTATCCATGGTAAGAAAGCACAAACTTTCAGGAGTGGGCAATAAATTAATTTATTCTCTCTTTTTAGAACTCTTTCACATTTATAGGCCGGTGTGTTTAATACTTGCTGCTGTGGAAAAGATCCACAATGTACTACTAAATACTTCCCTTACGGAGCTCACCGAGAAGGCAGGCGTTTAGGAAGGGACTACAATACAGGCAAGGGGACGTGCCCCTCTGAATTCACTTTTCCAGAAAGGTTACCGAAGAGACTAGAGGTGGTCAGTGAAAATAGCCCCGAACCAGTCGAATGTTTTGGGTCACCTGTGCATTGCACAGTGCTCTCCACCAGGCCGGAAGGAGCCTGCCTGTCCCTCACACACCCACTTATTTCTCAGTCACGGAAGGAAACGTGGAGTGACCGTCCTTCTGTCCAGGTGCATGCCAGAAGATTGCTGATGCCCATCAAGGCTGGAATTTAAAGGTCATTGTTTTCTTCATTAATCACCAAAATAACAAATTCCAAAGAATTTCTCTCTCTGGCACTCATAGCTTTTACTCTGTCTCCACTGAAAACAGGCAAGTAACTGCACATTTGTTGACTAAATCCATGGTAAGACTTTATAAACAGGAATCAGTTTTTACAAGTGGAGAAAAAATAATAATACGAACAACCCTCTGGGCAGCACTGGCAGGCAGCGAGGCAGCCGTGTCCCGGACGCTCCCACGTGGCCCTCGCCCTCCTGACTCCCTCTGGCTCCTTGTTGCAACTTTTCATCCTCGCCTCCGAATGGAAGGGCAAGTGAAAGTAGGCAGAGGCTACTGCTAGATTTCAAAGAGGTCACAGTGATCATATGCAAAAGAACCAGACTGAAAAAAAAATTGATATAACTAATGAAGTAATGAGATTACTGATTAAATGAAAATGAATTTCCTTTGGAAATTAATTTCACACTACCTTGAATTTTGAGACAGTAAAACAAAATGAAAGCTGCAAGCTGTTCACTAGTTTTCAAATGCACTGTTAAGTTTATTGGTAAGTAGACTTCTAAATAGATTCAAAAAGCGCTTCTGTGTTTTACGCAACTCAACTCTGTGATTTTGTCTCCCAGCTTAAAAATATTTTTCCACATATGTTTCAGAATGACTACAGAAGAAAATGATTTGTGCTTGGCTGCTGAGGACATTACTGGTCAGGATGCCTCCTAGAACTAAGATTAAGATGCTTGATTTCATTTAAAAAAAAAAAACAATATATTTGACTCGTATTGCTTCAAATACTTCAACATGCTTTGAGGCAAACAGAAAAACCTTTCCAGAATAAAGATACTAATTCTTATCTAAAGTAATTCTCTTAGATTTTAAATGCAGTATCAATAGTTCCATAAATATTTAATGTTCTTGATTAAAGTAACATTTCTTAGGGAAAAAATGACCAATTCTTAAAAAGGTACGAAGAAGGAATTCAAGAGATGCCGTCTCGATAGTGGAAATGCAGCCAGAGCTGACTAGATTTGTAAACCTGTATTTTTCTCAGGCAGGAGAACATAGAGGCATAGAGGCCTGATTAAGGGGCAGCCCGGCGTTTAACGCCCACTTGAAACAGGCGCCACGTGGGAGTTGCTGCAGTCTAGGAGGGTCGGTCAGGAGGTAAGAGAAGCTGCCCCACTGGAGGGATTAAAAGGGAAAGAGGACATTTGTTTGTGTTAACTGAGCAACTATATTTCTAAGACAATCCTGTTATAGGAAACTGTTCAACTCACAATTTCAGCCTGCACTTCAGCAAAATTAATTTAAATAAAACCACTGCTATATTACCTGAACTCATTTTATACATAACTTTGTTAACTTGTTGTGTTTCATAGTAAACAAAAGGGCCTATAGCTTTTACAATTATTCTATTTCAGTGGTTTTTAGTACTGTCTTGCAGGTACTGAACAGCAACAGAAATACAAAATATATGCTTAACATTAATCCAAAGTCCAAACCTGGCCACATCGACCACCATTTGGTAGCAGGTTCTCTGAAACAGGAGCCCTACACCCCTTCAGTGACAGCCACGTTCACGCTGGTAGGGAGATGGAAATGCATGTGGATTAAAGGAGGCTCTGTCATTTTAACAAATATGTGCAAGTGCAAAATCTAAGCAAAATTGTCCCTAAGAACATACAGCTCAAAATGTTAATATTCTCTTTAAGAATACTGAAATATAACCCACACTCATGAAGATTGCACACAGCTCCTTCTGTACACACAGGCAGGCACTATGCAAGGCTGCGAAGAACAGTGTCCGCGTGCCCCAGCACAGGACCCGGAACGCGTGCGCCTGCCCAGGTGCGCCTGCCGCAGCCCCGCCCCACACTCCTCGCCTCCCTGCCCTAAGACCCATCCAGCTCAAGTCTAAAATGGAGAACAGATTTTTTCTTATTAAAACAACTCTTTGGTCATGGACAAACTAAAAGATTTGAAATTTTTTTCTTTAGGATCCTGGAACAAGGTTTGTTTTTAATCTTTAAAAAAATTAAGGAAGAGGAAAAAGCCAGCGGGTTTAATTGAAGTGGAATTTAAATCGAAAAGGTCCGCCCGAACTGAAGGGATTGAACCCTTGCCACGAGTTCCAGCTTCTGTGGAAAGGGCTGCCACCACCTCCTTGTTGGCTCTCCGCATCCAGGGGGTCTTCTCCGTCGTCGAACTTCTTCCTCATTTCTGTAACAAACCAGCAAAGTAAGACCAGGTGTAGACTACGGTGCGGGGAGGACTGGGGGCCGCATCAGACCAGGTGTGCCTGACGCTCAACTCTAAGCTCTCATTTTCCCACCTAGATCAGAGGCCTGGTCTCAGAAAAGACTAGAGGAACACCAGTCACAGAAAAGGGGATGAGAGCCAGCGTTGAAAATGGTATCACAGACATATAGGCCCCCTAAATCTTCTCTCCTCACAGGAAGCCACCCAAGGATAATGCTTCTCTGAAAACACAAGAAACTGCAGAGAAAGTTGGGACCCCTAATCCCCACAGTGAAGGCAGCCAGGCACAACCGTTCTCAGCCCACCGGCTTCCGCGGGCCTCACTATTAATCCGAACAGAACCGAGTTCTTCAGAGCTGTGGGGAGTGGGGCCACCTCTGCCGCGCCTCTCAGTCCTGAGAGACCCCGCACAGCCAGAGACCAATTCCGCACCAGGAGGAAGAGACGCTGCAGGTGGCAGAGGAGCAGCTATCATCCTCAGAGATCAGAAAAGGATGGTTCAGCCGTCAAGTAAGAACGGGGGCGAAGAAACAGGCACCGAGAACAGAATGCAGCGCTGTGCTTGATGCACATGCCTCTGCCCGCCGGCCCCAGCTCCCTCGGCTGCAGGCCCCCGCCCGGGCACTGCACAAGCCAGGACGCAACCGGTCACGGGCTGTGTAGACCCTCATCTTGAACACGAGCACAAACAGCGTGTACCCTGCTGCACTCACTAAGTACACTTCTGTCCCTCTTGCTGGATTATAAATTACTTAACAACAAAAAAGAGTTTCACTTCAGTTGCACTGTATAAGTGAGGTGTTCAAGAAAGGTGTGTGTAGTTCATTCAAGTCATAGCTTCTGCTCCCACTGACGTGGAAAGGCATAAAAATCAGTAGATACAAGCTTAATATTAAATTCCCCCTAGAAATGTCAAAGTATTGTTCACTATTACCTCAGTTCTTAGCTGTTTCACTCTTATTTTCCAGGCTATTTTAACATATGATAAAAGAACATGTATAGCCACCAGGAGATCTAATAAACACTGATTCGGGGCATGACTCCTGGGGAGCACACACGGCAGGCAGCTGCCCTCCCACCACTGCACGTCCCAGTCTGGTGTCTGGTTTCCTGATCAAGCTCCTGTCAGCTTGGTATGAGGAATTCATCGCTGATCTATGAAGTTAGAAGGAACCTAAGAGATGTCAAACTCAGGCCTTTTCATTCCACACTCGCTGGTCTTTCCACTGAAAATATGTGGGTCCCTGAGTCTGCTGGGGGCCCAACTAGTCACCAGCCCTTGAAGTGAGCCCCAGAGCTGCCTACCATCCCTCTGGTGCTGCCTCTGAGACGGGCAAAGGAAGAGGGAGGCTAAGCCGCCAATTTAGCCATTTCAGGAAAATAGAAAATGTTAAAGGCACGTGATACCTGGATCAGAGAGGACCTCTTTAGCAGCTGCAATGTCGATAAATTTTTTCTCAGCCTTTTTCTTTTCTTCTTCATTCTGGAAGTTATCTGGGTGCCACTGCATTGCTAGTTTTCGGTATGCTTTAATGATTTCCTGCTTTTTGGCATTTCTGAGGCGTATTAAAATTGATTCATAACCATTAGTTAAGAAGTACCCCAAACTTCTGGATTAGCTTACTTAGTATGAACAATTACCTAAAAGATTAAAGTTTATTCAGGTAGTCTTATACAAAAGCACTTAAATAAATTAAATATCTTAGTACCTGCAAGTTGATTCTTAAAATGCCACTTCAAGCCTAGAGAAGTTTTCTTTTCCCCATTTTCTCCCTCCTACCTCTTTACCCTTAAGGAATTTAAGCCTAGGACCTCTTCATGCTACAGTGTCGTCTCTTTGTCACCAACTACTACTTCTCCATTATTGCATTCCTAGTCTCTATCAAAGAAACTAACGCATTCAAAATAAGTTTATGATACTAGACTGTTAGGTTCATTTCCTTTTCTTATGAAATTTCAGTCATAGACTAAACCCTGAGAGAGAGAGAAAAGAGGAGCAATGATTAGCTCTAGAACAGTTGATTAAAAATAATGCAAATTTTAAATTATTAACTCACCTTTTCACCCCCAAGATTTTATAATAATCTCTTTTCTGTGACTGTTTCAATAGTCGTTGTGCTTTCTCCAGACCTTCCCGAATCTGCTGGTCATTTTCATTGTGTTCTTGAGCCGTTTCGTAATCCTGAATAGCTGTGAAAATATGTTCAAGATAATGCTAAGAGGAATTATAACTTATGACCTTTACTTATCCTGCAAAACTGACACTGAAGTCACCATCCCCAATCCCCTCCCCCTTTTGCCATTATTGCCAAGAGCCTAAGAAGTGATACCACCTTAGTAATTGTGTTCACAAACTTACAAAAGGCATGATTAAGGCTGAATTTAGTAACTTATTACTCCCAGGCAATAAAAATTCACTACTGTTTACTTTCCCTCCCAAGTTCTTTCCCATACCTTTTAGCCTTTTAGGTGTTTTAACATCAGCACTTTAGACAAAGCAATCTTATATAAGATTAAAGTGATTGTTACACAGGAAAATGAGACAGTGTCAAAGAAAACTGGCATGGTCGGCTACTGGGTCCACAGCACAGAAGAATTAGAGGCTTAGAAAGGAGGCAAGAGGAACCATCAGCAATGAGAATCACTAAGTCACCCACAGATTTCAACACACTCTATTACAACCTGATTTTTTAAAATTATTAACCAAAATAGAAAATGACATACACACCTGGTATGGGAAGTCTGATATCAATACACATTGTATCTTTTATTTCAGATTATTTAAAATATTAAGAAAATACAAGGCATTTATCTGGATACCTAATGTCATACAGAAAAGAGTTTTCCTTAGAAAGGTACTTGCTGGAAAGTTGAATTTCAGGAGCATTCCCTGATAAGACTAGCTGACCATGCCAAAATTATTTGTATAAACAATTGTGGTTTATACGAAATGTCTTATTTCTTTCTGGAAGTATGGAATTTTGATATGAACTAGGCAGAAAGTGCCTACCTCACCAGGCCACAATAAAAACCTTGGGCACTGAGTCTAACAAGCTTCCCTGGTAGACAGCACTCACACTCGCTGAGAAATTAGCTTGTGCTATATTAGTTCACAGAGAGAAAGGTGCTTGGATTCTTTCACCTGGTTTCTGAATTCTGCCCCATGAGCTTTTCCCCTCAGCTGACCTTAGCATCAGTATCCCTTCCACTGGAATAAATCTTGGTCCTGAGTACAATTATATAGTGAGTCCCATGTGTCCGCCTATGCATCACCAATCTGGGGATATTCTTGGGAAGTGCCGATATGATTTTTCTGTGTCGTTCTCCCTGGGCAGGGCAGATATCTCATATAATAGACTCGGTTTCAAATTCTAGTTTTTATGGAAATGCATTTCATTGTGGGGAAAGACATCTCCCTGGATAACATGCCTGAGCATTTGTTTTGGCAACAGCTAATCCTAGAAGGGGTTTAACCTTGGACAGGGCTAAAATGAGAAAGATACTAGAATAAAATCAACAAATTTAGAAGCCTGAAGTACATAGAAAAATGAACCAATACTACCTTTGCTCCCCACCCCAAACACACAAGGGTTGCTTTAAGCTTATATCCTAATTTTTGCCTCAATGCATTAATATTAAATATTAATATGAAACATTAAATATTACTGTTACCCAAATGCACAGTGACATCCTAAAATATCTTTCCAATTTAGTACACAAATCCATCATAAATAGTAGTGAGGTTTAACTTTGCAATTAATACTCAAGCACTTGCTATCAGAAACGAGTAAGGAAAGGTATTGGAAGGAATTTAATACAAGGGGAAATGTTTTACTATGTTTATAATTTTGCTACTTATGCAAACTACATTTAAAATATGTTTGCATTCATAAATGTTCATAGTATCTCCCCCAAAGTAGTCTTCTTTCCATATCCTATCTTTCATTAAAACTTAAGGTAGATACACTTTTCCCAATATAGAAAATAAAATTACATAGGTTGTTTCATAAGTTCACAATATGGATGATGTAAGACTTCCCATGGACATAAACTAGATAGGTCATTTTAAATTATATTTCAGATTCTACTCTGAGAGAATCCTCAAAAAAAACCTAAATGCCACCCATACCATGTTTAGCCCATACCAAGCAGCTATAAAAAGTAGAATAAGCTAGAAATAGTAAGTCCCCAAATGAACAATGCATTACATATTAGCCAATTCATTTCCTAACCTCTGAATCTTAAAAAAAAAAAATCTCCTTCGCAAAGTATCTGTCTTCCGTATCCCTCTCACTCAGTGTTTAAGAAGCAACGCAAACAACCAGATGGAGATGGCAGACAGTACACAACACAACCATGGCAGAACTGAAACAGCAGACCAGAAATTTTGACAAGTTTCTGGAAGAGAGAAAGCAAACAGAATCATATTAATAATGATAAAACCTAAGTAGAAAGATCCACAATCCAAATACACACTGAAAGAGGCCCTAGCAAATTTGGAGGCCATCCTATTTGGCCAGGGATCCTCAGTTTAGCAAGCAAGAGTAGCTTTAAGGCACCCATCAGGATTCTTCATTAGAGGACTAAAGAATGGCTGGGCAGGGTCTCCCCATTCCACATGGAGCGGCTACAGCAGTAATCCTACCAGGGCCCAAGAACTGGCCTCTAAGCAGAATGGAGCATGTGCATCTGGAGGGCCCCTGACGTGGCTGCTAGGATCAGGGAGAGATGCAGAACTGAGCCCACAGGCACTGGAGACCTCCACAACAGACCTAGAACACACAAAGGAAAAGCAGTCCGTCCAGAAATGAAACACACCCAGGGACTCCACCTGGTAAGTACAATGAGTAGAGCCCTGCTCATTTTGGCAGCTGGGCAAGATGGCAAGCACTGCAGGGGAAGTCTTCCTGGGAACAGGTTCTGCCCACTCAAAGTCTGCAGTGACTCCCCACTACAGAGAAGCACGGAGACAAACATGCGTAGGTGCAAGTGACTCCCCGTTCTCTTCGCACCAATCCATTAGCAAATTCCAAATGTGTTCCTTCTAATAGTTTAACGACTCACCATTTCCATAGTGACCACTGTGATTAAGTCCATCATTAGTACACCTAGGTAGCTATCATAGCTTCCTGACAGCTCTCCGCAGCTTCTGACCCTATTTCCCTAAAAGTCTGTTCTTAACACAGGGCCTTCAGAGAGTCTTTTAAAGATTACATCACACCCAATATATCTACACCCCATGGGACACCAACTTTCTCATCCTGGATATCATACAAAACAAATTAGGTAAGGGGTGCAGGGGAAAGCTGAATTTGCAGCAAAACAATTCAAAGAAATTGAACAAGGGCTGCTAATATTAGCTAATACCAGCCATGAATCTAAAATGAGAGGGAAAAGCAAATAGGCCCAATGGCAAGAGATCACAGAAAATGCCAGCAAATACACATTCTCTGAGTATGGGCTCACCCTGAAGTGACAACCTGTATCCTTTGCATATTACAAGAACCATGAAATCCAAAGCAGACTAAGTGAAGATAAAGCAGAGGCCTTCCTAGGGAGAAGATGGGGAAAGAAGGGACTACAATAAGCGAGAATAGCAGACAGCCCTGGGCAGCACATCTCAGGAAATTCGGCAACTATGTGCTCTCTGAAGGTGAGGGGCTCACCCTGAAGTGCAAAAAATATACCCCTTTGGTGTAGCAAAGGAAGTGGGTAGAGGGGCAGCAGGACTGGCAGCAGACGACCTCCTGGACACGGTTTGGTTCAGAGAAGCAGAGAGGGCAGGGCTATACAGAAAGGCCATTTTAGCAGGAAGCAGAATGTCTGTGGAAACAGTGAAGCAGAGAGTATTGCAATTGTTAAGTACAGAAGGCTGCCCTGTCCCCAAAACCCCCTTACACACATCCCCAGAGGACCTCCCACAGATAGCGAGAAAAGGGTAATTTAACTTGTTTTGTGATGAATAATATTTTTTAACGGTACAGCATCGATTCAGAGATATCTGTTAAAAGAGGAAAAGAGCACCAGAACTTACCTGATGAACACACATCAATAACCAAATACATGAAATTTCTGAGAAAATATTATGACATGAATATTTAAAATGTATTCAATCACCCCTATTAAAGGTGTTCACTAAGCAGAATAAGAATTCAGGAAAGTGATTATGAGACAAGGAGAAGATGAAAATGTGAGTAGTCAAAACTCGAGAAAAATAAGTACAATAAAAACTCTCATAGAAGTTAAGATCAAATGAGAAGGAACACAGGGAGAAAAAGCATATGGGGAAAATACAAGGACCGAGTAAAATGAAATGGAAATAGTGAGTATAAAAAGACTAGAGAAAAAAATTGTAGCTATCGGTGAGTAGCAAAGGGAATACAACCTATACATAGTTGGATCTTTGAAGCAGAAAACCAATAGAACAGTACAACACAATTCAGATCAAATTTAAGAAAACTTTTCTAAAAATAAAAGACAAATCTATATATTCAGAGGGCACACTAGGTACTAGGCCAAACAGGATGAGAATGATCAACATTAAGATACATCCTAGTGTAACACACCTGAAAGATAAGGGCTCCTTGGGTGGCCAGACCAAAACCAAAATCCTGGCCCCCGATTTTCCATAGCAATATTCAGTGCCCGAAAAGAATGAAAGGTAACTAAAATATACAGAAAATTTGTGAACCAAGGATTTTGTTATGTAGCCAAGCCATCCTTCAAGTACAAAAGGTACAAAGAGCTTTGAACATAGAAGAAATCAGGAAAAAAAAGTTCCTAGGGGGCCCTTGAGGAAGCTACTATGGGATGAACTCGCCAAGAGAAGTCTAGAGAAACCAAAGCCAAAGAAGGGTTAGCGCATGTTGCATGTATTTAATATAGAACCAAGACTGAAAACACAGAAATAGTGTTAGAGAAGAATGCATGCCCTAACAAGTCAGGAGCGATACAGCTAACAAAAAAAATGTGAAAAGATGACAAAGTTAATTCATTAATTCCCCTAATTACAGCTGAAGCAATCAGAAAACATCACCCACTGATTAGTCAAAGACAAACACTATAGAGAAATTCATTAATAAGTATTAAGTGGTAGAGGAAAAGGAAAGAAGAGGAAGAAACAAGCTAATATTTTTCATCACTGAAGGAAACTAACTGATATTATCCAAAGGAAGAAGGCTAAATTAACA